GTCACAGAAATTTAAAGCTGGAAAGGCCCACATTACTTTAGGAACTAAGAACAAAGTCCAAGTGACCCAAAACTAGATAGCATTTGATATGCAAACCTTGAAGAAATATAAGTTTGTGTCCCAGAAGAAATTATAGTACGATGATGTAACAAAAGAACCGCTATATTTTAACCACAGACACTAACTGAATGTGCAACCCATAGTGAATTTTAAGTGAATGGCAAGTGACTATTAGGGCTGAGTCTAGATGTATATTTCCTTTAAATCATCTTGATGTTTAAGAGAAGAAAAGTTTAACCAGGTAGACACAAAATTCAGTTGTCTCAGATCACACTGACAGGGTAGACAGAATTTTTTACTGTAGCTGTGGACTTGCTGATAAGACAAAGTGAAATATGCAAGTACTCATCATATCTTCTCTAAAATGATAGAGAAGACGATTTATTTTTAGCTTCTACTGCACTTTTTTACCTTTCCTTTCAATAATGTACCTACATATTAGTTTTTAAATTGCTTACCAACACCAAGTGCATTATGTTCTCATAGGTTTGAAGGCTGACGTTCATGTTTATTCCTCTACAGAAATAAGCACATTTCTAAAATTATCCAGGAACAAATCTAAAGCTACTTGCTTAGAAGAGCAATTGGGAAGCAGGATATCATTTTATTTTAGCCTGTTTAACAAGAAACGAATTGATATGTACCAGAATGAAAATTTGGTGCTATTTAAGTTCCCTCTCTTTGTCCTCTTCCTCCTCCCTGGTTGTTGCTGAGCTGGAGACTTAAATAAATGCCACCATGACATGTGGACAGAAGAGTTGTCCACTTTGGATATTAATAGGTCTCATTATGGGAGCTGGTATCCTTGAATATCATGTTTCCCCACTGTGTTGATAATCTACTGAGATGTGGCAGCATTCTCTCTGATCTCCCCCATCATCCCTAGGGGACTTTTCATGCTGGCTGAGAGACTGATAAACTTCCTAGAAGTCTATTGAGTCTCTATTTCTCACCAATAACCTGTGCCCTTTCTTGTGGACACGGAGAAATGTTCACTGCTTTTTCATATACCTCTTGGACCACAAAGGGTCCTAAGGTTATCAGCTGGCACTCTCTGTGCCAAATCACCCCTCCAGCATTCTCTGATCCATTGCTTTCAAGTTGCCATGGTATGGGAAATCATGGTATGCCCCACCATGGTATGACAAGCCTACCAGAGTTCCAGGGAGAAAGGGTGAAGCACAAAGAGTGAACACATCAGAGGAAGAGAGGGAGAACGAATTTACCTCCACTCTCTTCCTTCCTTGTTCTTGCACCAGACCATGGTATGACAAGCCTACCAGAGTTCCAGGGAGAAAGGGTGAAGCACAAAGAGTGAACATATCAGAGGAAGAGAGTGAGAACGAATTTACCTCCACTCTCTTCCTTCCTTGTTCTTGCACCATAATTCATTCCAAGCGAAAAACCTACAGAAAGAAATGCTAAGGGCCAGCCCATGGTTCACTTGGTAGAGTGTGGTGCTGATAATACCAAGGCCACGGGTTCGGATCCCTATATAGGGATGGCCGGTTAGCTCACTTGGGAGAGTGTGGTGCTGACAACACCAAGTCAAGGGTTAAGATCCCCTTACTGGTCATCTTAAAAAAAAAAAAAAGAAATGCTCAAGCTCTAAATACTTATACATACTTAAAGTAACTGCTTTAAGAGTCTTGTCTGTTAATTCTATCATCTCTGTTGTTTCTAGGACTGTCTCTACTGATGGATTTTCATCTGGTTATAGGTCACATTTTCATGCTTTTTTGCATGTCTAGTAACTTTTGATGGATGTTGAACATGATGAATTATATTGTTGAGTGATTTCTATGTGTCTCTTTAAAGAGATTTAAGTTTTGTTCTGACAGGCAATTAATTTACTTGGAGATTAACCTGATCATTGTGAAGCTTCTTCTTCAATTTTGTTAAGAAGGGTCTAGGATAGACTTTACTCTAAAGTTAATTCTTGCCCTTCTTCCTAGGACTAAAAGAGTATGGCCTTTTGGGGATCTCTAGTGAATTGCTTGAAACTTTTTTGTTATACAGTTCAGGAAATGAGTTTTCTTTTTCTATTGAAATACAATTGATTATATATATTTGTGGGTACAATTTTAAATATCAATAAATGTATACAATATGTGGTGAGCAAATCAGGATAATTAGTATACTCATGTTTACAAAACACAATCAATCTTTGTGACCCTTAACTAATTTCTTGCTAATCCCCCTTCCCCTACCTTCCCCACCTCTAGTAACCACAGTTCTGGTCTCTTTTTTTTGAAAGTTCAATATATTATTGTGATATCTCTCTCTCTCTCTCCCCCCCCCTCTTTCTTTTAAATGAGTTATCTTTAATTTGGCCAGAAATAAGAGGCAATGACAAATGCTTGGAAATATCTTAATTATATAGGGAGAATCAATGTAATGGTATTTGTTATTGTGAAATTACACTATACTATTGTAAATGTTTTTCTTCCCTAAATCTTTACATTGTAACAAGGGTACTAGATCTTTTATGCTGTAGAGCTGATGAAAGCTATAAAAAATAATATACTTTGTTTTCTTATATCCAAGTCCACAGCTTTAGAATTAAGAAAGATTCTTCAGATGAAAGCAAAACACCAACAATAACCATTCCTGCTATCTTTTTTCAATTGAGATTTTTCTATGATTTGTTCAGCACTGAATTCCCAACACCTAGAACTGCTTGGAATAAATAGATATTCAATAAATTTTAGGTAAATGAGTGAATTACAACTCTCACATTCATGCTAGTCATCTGACACCAATGAAAATGGATATAATAAATATTCATTTATTTATATTCATATATTTATATTATATTAAATATATTTATACTTAAATATGTTTATATTCATAAAAATAACAGGAAAGATAACAAAAACAATACCAAAAAACTTTCCTAACATGATGGTTCTTGGTTTTTTTCATTACTGTGGGAAAGGAGAGTAGAAATGTCATGAAATGGTTATCAGCAAAACTTTAGGCTACTACAATCAGAAGTGATGTCTGATAGCTCAAAAAAGGAAGTCAAATGAAGTCAATGACCCATGCAAAATAGGAGATAATTTTTTAGTCAGTGCTCAACATGGAATTTATTTTTCAGAAATAGTCATTGAAGGTAAGCAACATCCTTAAATTCTAGATCTTGGGAGGGAGCAAAATAAATGTATTACAAGCTTAGACATTCTGTTGATAAAGGCCTTCAATGAAATTAAAGCAACTTTAGACCAAAAAGACTATGAAATCTCTATAACTCATATTACAACTCTGATATAAGTAAGAAATGATGATTCAACTAAGGCTGATATTGAGTATTGATAAGTATGGAACCCAGTAGATAGAATAATGCAGAATTTCTAAATATTCCTAGTTCCTTCAGCTATTTCTCATATAATGTGGTTTCCAGCTGCTTCACCATCATGAGTACTGCTCCAAATAGGCTTCACTGTCTTAAAATGTGGCATTGAAGTAGAACACAATTTCAATGATCAATTCTATGTATCAATTTGGCTGGGTCATCGTGCTCAGATAATATGTGGTCACATTATTCTGCATGCTTTTGTGAGACTGTTTTCAGAGGAGATTAACATTTAAATCCATGGACTATGAGTAAAGCAAATTACCCTCTATAATGTAGGTAGGCCTCATTCATTCAGCCTGAATAGAACAAAAGACCGACCTCCCCAAGCAAGAGAGAATACTGCCAATAGACAGCTTTCAGACTTGAATGACCGCATCGGCTCTTCCTTGATCTCCAGTCTGCCAGCCAACCTTGTATATTTTGACTTGCCAGGCTGCCATAATCACATGAGCCAATTCCTTAAATTAAATCTCTTTTTAAATATACACATAAGCATTCTACTGGTTCTGTTCCACTGTAGAACCCTGACTCATACAACAATATGCAGATGTTTGTCCTATAAGCACAGAACATCACAGAGAGACTATCCTAGTCAGAGATAAAGTGAAATCAACAATTATTAACACAAAATGAAAGAAGAAAACCAAATATTGTTGCTTTATCTCACACAGATTTGTTACCTCTCTTCCCCTGGGTGACAGAGCCACAAAAGGATTACTCAAAGCCCATTTCTTCCAAGCAGTGAAAGACCCCAAAGGGGTTAATCTCCCAAAACCCTCAAGAGTGAGGCATTCCTTCCTTAGGAAATTAACCATGAATTAGGGTTCTCTACCCACATTTATTTTCCAGACCAGGAAGTTACAGAAAAAGAACATAGGTGGGGTAATAGTTTAACAATAGAGGATGGTAACAAGCAAAGTCACATTCCACAATGCAACTTGGAAAAGGTTAAGTTGATCCATCAACAAAAGCTTGACCTTAGCAAACACTGTTTTTCCCTACATCAATTTCCCAGTATCTTTACACATCAATCAGTAACTTGTCTGTCCTTGAGCCAGCAACCTTGCTGTGTTACAATTCTTTATCTCACAACAGAGACTTTTAGCCTAGGGAAAGTTTCCTATCTTTTGCAAGGTTAACATTTTATATGTACTTTTAAGAAGTTAGGCTAAGGGCTGGCCCCATGGCTTACTTGGGAGAGTGCAGTGCTGGTAGTGCTGAGGCCGCGAGTTCGGATCCCATACAGGGATGGCCGGTGTGCTCACTGGCTGAGCATGGTGTGGACGACACCAAGCCAAGGGTTGCGATCCCCTTACTGGTCAGGAAAAAAAAAAAAAAAAAGAAGTTAGGCTAAACCTGAAACTACAGAGAACTAGATTCTGTGAAATATATTTGCTTTATAAATGTAAGTATACTCCACAAAATATAAACCTGGGGGTGGAGGGAGAAAGGGAGAAAAAAAGATTACATTTGCTTTCTTAGCTGACACATCAGTTAAGTCATATTTGAGCTTATTTAAAAAACAAAAACAAAGATAAAAAACTTTGTTTAAAGTCAAGATAATAAAAATATATCAACCTACCTGCTTCTCGAGAATCCAGTCATCATGCTCCCTGCACCCATCTAGAAAGCACTTTTATTCCAGGTTGACCTGTAACATGGAGTACTTTTTTGGAATACCCCTCTTTGTGTGTTGCTATAATTTCCAAATGACATGTTTTGTTTGCCATAACTACCTTCCAAGCCAATAGAAAGTCCCATTGCCTAGAAGTGGAGTTTATTTCCAGGCCCCCTTTCATCCAACCTGGTTAACTGAGCCTTGCTCAGCCGTATATATCACATACTATGTCCCATCCCTTACTCTGAATGAATGTGATATCTACATGTAAATATTTGTACACAGTCATTCATTCATTCAAACATATTTATTTAGTACCTGGTATGTGCCAAAACAGATACAGTCCTGCCTTCGTAGTTCTCATATTTTAGTCGTGAAGGTAGATAATCAATAAAGGAATAAATTATGATAAATGTTATGATGGTAATACATGAAATGCTGTGAGAAAAAAGAGGCACCCTTTAAACTGAGACCTGAAGATGAAAATTTAAAAAAATGAGGGAAGAGCATTTCAGAAAACAAGTACAAAAGCTATGAGGTAAGGAAAACTTGGAGTACTGTATTTAGAAAATACCAGAAAAATCTATATGGTTGAATACAGAGATTGATAGAAATGGTTGACAATGAGTTAGGAAACATAAGCAGAGATCAGATCATAAAGGGCTATATAATGAATTTATTTGGGCAAAGAATAGAGCCCTCCTGAACTTGGAAATATGACTACCTTCTTAGAAAGTGAAACCAGGAAAGATCAAAGCATTTTGAACAAGAATCACCACCTGTGGAAGTGGCTACAAGCAGAACAAAAAGTGCATGTATATGTGGCTGGAGAATTTGAGAAATGTATATTTCCAGGGTAACTAAAATATAGACATAGAGAAGAATGATTATCATATGATTATAACTTAACCTGAAACATAATCAATGATATAGAACGCTGCCAGAAGAAGAAATCTGTCAATAAGTCTAAAATGTTCCTTAAAAGTACTTCTCCAGCCATCATTTGGTGTGAGGGATGGGAGGTTGTGGACAAAGAGGAAAGGGGATTAATGGCTTGAGTTCTCAATATCTTCTGTCAGTGCTTCAGCACAAGTAGTTCTGCTGTCATCTGTTTTGTACACTGGACTTCCATTTTAAGGAAGTGAAAAACATTTTGAAAACTGAATTTGAAAGCAGTTTTCCAATACAAGCACACGCATACATATCACCAATTATATTCTCCATATATATAGTATAAATATTATATGAGGGTACTTAAAAAGGTCATGGAAAAATATAATTAAAAGATGACATGGATCTTTCCATGAGTTTTTGAAGTACCAGTATATATATATATATGTTATATATACACATATGTATATATACATAAATACATATATGTTATATATTATATACATATGTGTATATGTATATATATCCCCCCTTCCTCTCTGTCTTACTCTCCCTCTAGTCTCATTCTCTCTCTGTCTCTGTCTCTCTCTTTCTCTCTCCATACACACACACACACACACACACACACACACACACACACACACCTGACACCTGGGCACCCCCCCATTATTCCTTTCTCTAGAGAGAGAGAAAGAGCAAGAGAGAGAGAAAGAGAGAGAGGGAGGGGAAAAAAGGGCAGGAGGGAGGGGGTACCCAGCTATACAAAGTATTTGATCATTTAGCAGAAATATCCAGACAGAGGAAATGAATGCATAAGAGTACATGGTTTGATGAAATTAGTCATTAATATCACCCAACAGATTATTTCTGCTCTTATTCCATGCCCACAAACAACGTTCTGACAGAAGTTGGCTTTCCATGAAAGAATACATTGATACTCAGCAAGAGTTTCTGATCCATATAGCATTAATATTTCACCATCAGTACATCAATGTGATTTATAAATCAGTGCCGAGTTAGTTGGGTTAGTGTCTATCAGTGTTCCAAGCCTGATTTGAATTTCTGCACTTGAAAAACTAAGTATCAGTGCGCAGAATGCAATCTACCTCTGAACTGCCACACAGACTTCCTAACAGTGACCAGTGAATCTCTCCCTGTGACTTCTATGGCTGGTCCCTTTTCCAACTACTACTAAAGGAACTAGAAAATTTCATTCACTTAAAGAGACCAGGCACAGTAGGAACCCATACTTACTAGCACTGTAATACAATAGGAAAGTAACTTCATACCGATTTCATAGAAAAAGAAGCATAGTGGCTTAAAGAGAGACATGCAGTTTTAGCACTTGAACTGTATTTATCATAGAATAGAGAATGTTAAGGGTTAGATCTCAAAGTTCCTCATGTCCAACCCCTTACTTTTAAAAATGACAAGATGACAAGGGAGGTGTGAAAGATTGGATGATTTGCCCAAAAACAGCTGGGATACCTGAGCTAAAGCTCTTTCCACTATGATAACTGCCTACCTCACAGTAATAGTTGCTCACACTCTCAGCTCAAAGTTCCTCATGTCCAACCCCTTACTTTTAAAAATGACAAGATGACAAGGGAGGTGTGGAAGATTGGATGATTTGCCCAAAAACAGCTGGGATACCTGAGCTAAACCTCTTTCCACTATGATAACTGCCTACCTCACAGTAATAGTTGCTCACACTCTCAGTCTTCTTGCAGCCATAGACATTTCACATTCTCATTCTATTCAATGATAGGTTAATTAAAAAATGAAATTGTTTCCTAAGAAATAAGAAGAGATATTTCACCTTCTATGAAACTTTCTCCTTTCTATTATGAGCAATAAATAGGTATTTAGTCAATTCCAGCCCATACAGCAACCAAAGTGATCCTTTTACAAAGAAAGTCATTCTTCTTGAGATTCACTATTGCCCTTCTGCTTAAAACCCTGAAGTACCTTTCAACCACTAATAGTAAAAGCCAAGTTCCTCCAATGGCCTAAAAAGCCCTACACCTCCGTGCTCAACTCTGTTCCTGCCACACTGTCTTCCTTGCTGTTCCTCAAATAATACACCAAATACCTTCCTGCCTTTGGGTCTCTATAGTGCATATCAAAGCAATCAAGAATGTATTGACAAAGAATACTACTTATTTGGTATTAAACTTTCAATTTTCTTGGTTATAAGCCTGATATATTCTCTGGTATAGTGTTCTGAAATACTGCCACAAAATGAGAAACTAAGAATCTAGAAAGTCTAAGAGTGTGTGTGTGTGTGTCTTTTTTTAAAATAAGAATTAGATTACTGAGGTGTCTAAAAAGTCATTTTTATTTTTTAACTTATTTTTATAGCAGTTTTAGCTTTGCAGAAAATTTGAGCAGAAAGTACAGATAGTTTCCATACCCTCCCTACCCACATGCATAATATATCCTATTAATGACATGTTAGTGTGTTACATTTATTACCATTATGAATTAATATTGACACATTATTGCTAATTTTATATTAGCATTCCATCTTTGTATTGTACAGTTCTATGGGTTTTGCCTAATGCATAATGTCATGTATTAACTATTACAATATCATACAGAATAGTTTTGCTGCCATAAAAATCCTCTGTGCTCCACCTATATCTGATGAGCAGTCATAACTAAATACATTGTATCAGTCCGTTTCTGTTGCTTATAACAGAATACCTGAAACTGGGTAATTGATAAAGAAATGAAATTTATTTCTTACAGTTTGAGGGCTGGGAAGTCCACATTCCAGGGAACACATCTGGTGAGGGCTTTCTTGGTGGTGGCTTTACAGCAGCACACGGAATCATATAACAAGAATGGCTGAGCAAGAGAGAGCTAACTTGCCCACTTGCTCTCCTTTTAAAACCATCAGAACCACACCTTTACTCCATGAATGAATCAATCCATTCTCAAGGGTACAGTCCTCACAATCTAATTACTTCTTAAAAGGCTCACCTTTAAATGCCATAATAGGATTTCTTACCCCTAACATTATTACAGTGGTGATTAATACATGAATCTTTGGGGGATACAATTCAACCCACAGCATAGCTGAAAATATGCACACTAACCTATTCCATATCAGTATTACACACATCCTTCCACTATTTTTTCCCAAACAATCATGATAGATTTATTCTGAAATTTCTTCACCCTATTTGCCAGTCTTTTTTTGTAAACAAAGATAAACATGGAAGAAATACTGGCTGAGACTAGCACTGCAGATGGCCACTACATATGGCCAAACATTGCACATCTCCAGGAGTGCCACATACATCGTGCATGGATTATGATGTAAATGCACCACCACTCTGCTCCCTCACCTTGGAGTTGTGCAATGTTCACCTCTGAGTCTATTCAGAACTAACTGGCCCAGATTGGAACTAAAATTAGTGATCCTTCCTCTTGGAAAAAGTAACTCAAACTTACTAAGCTAATCAGTCCTGGACAATGAGATATAAACTGATTTACATTAAAATAATCTCTTCAAAACATTTGCCAGTTACTAAAAAATGGAGAAGGTGTTTGAGACACAAATACCCTAAAATGACTCTAGATGATAGGTCACAGTTTCTCGTCCCTCAATCTTTCTTTAGTTGGCAGGTTTTTCTGGCAAAGAGTATAAAATTTGATACCATAATGATCTTATAGCACCCTCAAGTGGATTAGACTGACACTGTTTTTCTTGATGAGATGTGTTGGTCTGTGATATGAAAAAGAAAGAGGGAAGGTGGTACAATCCTTTCAGACAAAGACTACTGTAATAAACAAAGATGTACCAACCCTTATCAGAAAGGCTTGTAGTTTGACTTGTTTCTCTAAAAATGAGGATGGATTTTTGGCTAACCTAGCCGTACTGTCCATGTAGTATTCTTCACTCTTCCTTGAGTTACTTCAGGGTGGCTTTAAATAGAATTTTAAATATTATACAGATAACTATGTTATATGGCAGCAAAGCTGTAGCCTAAACCATTTGCACCATATGCTTAGGAATAAAAGCAAGTGGCCCCATTACTGGAAGAAGGGTTCAAGGCTATCTTTCGATATTCACATAATAATGGATATTTGTGTTAGTCAGGGTTCACCAGAGAAAAAGAACAATAGGAGATATA